AATCGGGTGCCTGGGTTGGCGTCGAGAACAACACCGTCGTGAACGTCAAAGCACAGCTCGGCTTCACGGCTTTTCTGCCTTGCTCCGTTCGCATGATCGGGGACAAGCAGGTGAGTGGAGGTGGCAGGTGGAGGTGGGAGGTGGAGGGGGGAGGTTGGAGGTGGAGGTGGCAGGTGGAGAAGCTGGAGGTGGAAATGGAGGTGGGAGGTGGAGGTGGAAGACGGAAGTGGAGGTGGGATAGGGAGGTGGAGGTGGAGGTGGGAGGTGGGAGGTGGAGGTGGAAGACGGAGGTGGAGGTGGGATAGGGAGGCGGAGATGGAGGTGGGTAGTGGAGGTGGAAGTGGGAGGTGGAGGTGGAGAAGGAGAAGGTGGAGGTTGGAGGTAGAGGAGGTAGAGGAGGTGGAGGTGGAGGAGGAAGTGGAGTAGAAGAGGAGGTGGGAGGTGGAGGTAGAGGTGGAGGTGGGAGGTGGAGGTGGAGGTGGAGAAGGTGGAGGTGGGAGGTTGGACAGGGAGTGGGAGAGGAGGATGGAGGTGGAGGTGGAGGTGGAGGTGGAGGTGGGAGGTGGAGGTAAAGGAGGTGGAGGTGGAGGTGGAGGTGGATGTGGGAGGTGGAGGTGGAGGAGGTGGAGGTGGGAGGTGGAGGTGGAGGTGGAGGTAGAGGAGGTGGGAGGTTGGAGGTGGAGGTGGAGGTGGAGGTAAAGGAGGTGGAGGTGGAGGTGGGTGGTGAGAGGTGGAGGAGGTGGAGGTGGAATGGGAATTGAGAGGTGGAGGTGGAAGACGGAGGTGGAGGTGGAGGTGGGATAGGAGGTGGAGATGGAGGTGGGTGGAGAAGGTGGAGGTGGGAGGTTGGAGGTGGGTGGGAAGTGGGAGGTGGGAGGTGGGAGGTGGAGGTGGAGGTGGGGAGCTAGAGATGGGAGGTGGAGGTGGCAGGTGGAGGTGGGTGGTGAGAGGTGGAGGAGGTGGAGGTGGAAATGGGAGGTGGGAGGTGGAGGTGGAAGACGGAGGTGGAGGTGGAGGTGGGATAGGGAGGTGGAGATGGAGGTGGGTGGAGAAGGTGGAGGTGGGGGTGGAGGTGGGTGGAGGTGGGGTGGTGAGAGGTGGAGGAGGTGGAGGTGGAAATGGGGAGGTGGGAGGTGGAGGTGGAAGACGGAGGTGGAGGTGGAGGTGGGATAGGGAGGTGGGATGGAGGTGGGTGAGAAGGTGGAGGTGGGAGGTTGGAGGTTGGAGGTGGAGGGTGGGAGGTGGAGGTGGGAGGTGGAGGTGGAGGTGGGAGGTGGAGGTGGAGGTGGGAGGTGGGAGGTAAGGAGTGGGAGGTGTAGGTGGGAGGAGGTGGAGGTGGAGGTGGAGGGGAGGTGTAGGTGGGAGGCGGAGGTGGAGGTGGAGGTGGGAGGTAGAGGAGGTGGGAGGGTTGGAGGTGGAGGTGGAGGTGGAGAAGGAGAAGGTGGAGGGTGGAGGTAGAGGGAGGTGGAGGTGGTGGGAGGAAGTGGAGGTAGAGGTGGAAGAGGAGGTGGAAGGAGGTGGAAGGAAAAGGAGGTGGGAGATGGAGATGGGGGTGGAGATGGAAGAGGTAGGAGGGTTGGAGGAGGAAGTGGAGGAAGGAGATGGAGTTGGGAGATGGGAGGTGGGTGGAGGTGGAAGTGGAGGTGGAGATGGAAGTGGAGGTGGAGGTGGGAAGAAGAGATATAGCAGGAGGAAGGAAAGGCTGGGGAAGGAGAAAAAATAGGAAGAGACCGACTCAGTATTACGTAGAGAAAGCGAAGTGGATTGGAACATGGAAAAAAAAGAGAATAAAGAACAAAGAGAAGAAATAAAGAAAAGAAAAAAAATAATCTAAATTAAAAACAATCCGAAAGGAAATGGAAGCAAACTAAAAAAACAGAACAAAAGAAAATAAAGCAGAGAAATTGGAGAGAAATTAACCAATAAGCATGTTTTAAAAATCAGCCATTAAGGTGGAAAGAAAAAAAAAAAAAAATTGAGCTATGATTAATTACTTGTCCATTTAGCTCGTATTAAAAGTTACGAATATGAATCTGAGGAACAATTAATTAAAAGCAAAAGGGAAGGAATATTTGTGATTCAATAATGAAAAGGTTATAAGTTTGATGGTGTTTCAAGAGGACTATTCTTATTTTAGGTTTAATTGTAATGGAGAATAGAGAAAAGGAGAGAGATAGGAGATAGATAGATAGACAGAAAGACAGAGAGAGAGAGAATGGAAGGGAGGGATGGAGGGATGGAGGGAGGGAGAAAGAGATTGAGAGAGAGAAGTAGAAGGAGAGATAGAGAGAGTGAATAACTGAAGAGAGAGAAAGTAAGAAAGATGATAATAAAAAAGAAAAAAAAGAGAAACGAAATAAGAGAAGAGAAAAAAAGAAGAAAATGAGAGAGAGAGACGGACACTGAACCAAAAACAAACCAAAAAATAAGATTACAAAAAAAAAAAAAAAAAAAAAAAAAAACTTCTCACATGCCTCCTCCTTCCTCTTCCTTCTTCCAGATATCATGGATCCGGCGTCGTGACTGGCACGTCCTTACCTCCGGCGTCTTCACGTACACGAACGACGAACGCTTCTCCATCACGCACCGAGATGGCGCTGACGACTGGACGCTCTCCATCAGGTACCTTCAGGCCAGAGACAACGGCACTTATGAATGCCAGGTGAGTGGACTTATTATATATATATATATATTTTTTTTTTTTTTTTTTTTTTTTTTTTTTTTTTTTTTTTTTTTTTTTTTTTTTGGGGGGGGGGTTATTTTTCTTGTTTTTGTTCGTACACGGTTTTTAGTCTTTCTTTTTTTCTTCTTATCCTTTTCCTCTTTCTTCGTTTTCTTTTCTTTCTCTTCCACCGATTTCTTCCTCGTTTTCTTTTCTTTCTCCTCTCCTCTTTCTTCTTCTTCTTTGTCTCTTCTTTTGAAAGGAATTTGATTAATTTAGAGATGTGTTTTATGATATATATATATATATATATATATATATATATTATATATATATATATATATATATATACATATATATATATTATATATATATATATATATATATATATATATATATATATATATATATATTATATATATATATATATTACAACACACATAAATATATATATATATATATATATTATATATATATATATATATATATATATATATATATATATATATATATTGTATGTATGTATCATATATATATATATATATATTATATATATATATATATATATATATATATATAATTTTATGAAATTTTGAGTTTTAGCTAAAAAAAAGGAAAATTTTCTTTGTCTTTGGCATTTCATGTGCTGCGTTACTCAGTTGAACGCTCAGTTTAATTTGTGATGTTTGCACGCACACGCACATATTTAACTGTATACATATACATATGTACATATATGCATGCATACACACACACACCTGTAAACAGACATAATATCATTCTTCTCTCTCTTTATCTCTTCTTCCTCTCTCCCTTCTCTCGCCCCGTCCACTCCCTCCACGAATTGCTTCTCCGCGCAACAGTCTCCGTCTATTTCACTCTCATCATCAGCCACATCGTCAGCATTCTTAAGCCACTCGACACATCCAACATCCTCGCTGGAATTATCTCGATTTTCCACGTTGGCCATTTCTCTTTCCTTTTATTAGGATGACTTTTATGTTTCTCTCGTGATTTTAGTATCTATCATAGTCTTTTTTTTATTGTATGATTGACAGGTTGTGTTTAGTTTTTTATCTTTTGTGTGGATGTTACTAGCCACTGTCTGTGCTGAGATAGATAGACGGATTGTATTCCTCTTTCGGTTTTCTATTGATCTATTCACATATATGTTTTCGTATCTTCATCTCTATCCTTATCTTTAGTCACACCAACAAGGCCATTGTAAGTTGGGATATGTGTTATAAGGATACATAAGTTGGGAGATTGACAATGCTGTGCAGATTTTGAAGTGGTGACGATATGATACATATATGGATACATGAATAGATGTCTTTGTAGGGATGAGTACAAATGAAGATAGGTATAATTGCAGATAAAGGAACTTAAATAGATGTATATGTAAATCTACAAAGGTTGAATAGAGATACCCTGTCCATCCATCTGCCTAAGTACACCAATACACAGATAAACAAATCGATTCCTTTCCTCTCTGAATGAAAAACACACTACCTAATACTCCTATACATACACCAAGAATGGCAATAATGTTGAGAATAATCTGCTACATATTTCCACACACACGAAAAAAAAAGAAAATGAAAAAAAATATATATCAGAAATTCTTGTCACTGAGAAGGAATTTTCATGGTTGAACGTATCTTTTGTTGCAACCTTTGTATTGAGACTGTAAATTCTGAGGAAAAATTGAAGCTCCTTGCCTAAATACAGAGAGGTGAGAGGGATAGAAGAGGAAGAGAAGGAGGGAAAAAGAAACGGAGAGCGAGAGAGCGATGGATAGAGGGAGAGATGGAGGTAAAGAGGGTGATGTGGAGAGGGGGAAACAGGGGATGAAGAGGAAGGAGAGGCAGAAAGAAACGGAGAGCGAGAGAGCGATGGATAGAGGGAGAGATGGAGGTAAAGAGGGTGATGTGGAGAGGGGGAAACAGGGGGATAAAGAGGGAGGGACGGGGGGGCGAAACTGGAAGATGTGGAGGTGGGGAGGCAGAGGATGGAGAGGAAGGAGAGGGAGAAAATGGGGAGAGAAAGAGGGAGAAAGAAATAGAGAGCGAGAGAGGGATGGATAGAGGAAGAGAGATGGGAAAGAAGGAGGTGTGGAGGTGGGGACACAGGGGAGGGAAAGGGAGCAGGTGAGGGAGGAAATGGGAAGAGAAAGAGGGAGAAGGAAACGGAGAGTAAGAGAGGGAAAGAGGGAATTATTGAAGTGAGGAGATAGGGGAGGGGGAGGGAGATGAAGCGAGAGTGACAAGGAAATGAAAATTTAAGTGAAAGAGAAAGAGAGAGGGTGGAGAGGAAAAAGGAGATGAAAAAGCACACGTGTTGAGAAGAGGTTGGATTAAGGTAAA